ATGGTTGTGCATTCGGAACTCGACCGAGATTTGTTCAAGGAGGTGAGTTTTTGGGATGAGGAGACGTTTTATTCTTGTTTGGTTTGGTTGAGGGGTTGTGTTTTGATATTCTTGTTGTTTCGTTGTTGTTGTTATGGTTGGTATTTTTTAATATTTTAGGTTTATTTTTTATTTATTTTTTTCTTGTTTCTGTCTTTCTTTCTTTTTCGTTTGTTTGTGTTTCTCTTTTGTCTGGGTACTCTTTTTCTCTCTCTGTGTTTGTTTGTCTGTCTGTCTGTCTGTCTGTCTCTCGCTTGATTCTGCTTATCTATCGGCTGGTTCTCTCTCTCTCTCTCTTCTTTCTTTCTCTCTCTCTTCCGCATACGTCTACCCCTCGTCTGTCTCCCTTTCTCTGCTTCTCATTATATCTTTCATTATACCTTTCCCTCTCGCTACCTCTATTTCTGTCTCTCTCTCTCTCCCTCTTCTTTCTTCTCCCTCCCTCGCTCTTTATATTCCTCCTTCCCTCCCCCCCCTCTCTCTCTCCCCTAAATATTTTTATATTTTCTGTCTGTTATTAATTACTCTATGTAATGTGTTATCCATTCCCTTTACATTACACCTCTCTCTTAATTTACCCTAATTATAAAACCAAACCTTTATTTTCGTCCTTATTTCCGACCTCTGAATAGCTGTCCTTTGTTATAATACAAAACGAACAGAAGAAAATAACAAAGTTAATCATTGGTCTCACGTGTCTATTTCGCAGATTTTCACAGGCGCTGAAACGAAGACCAATTGGCTGCTTATATCTGGCGAAAACTTTCAGGAACTGTTAGAAGAGGTTTACCTACCACTCGATAATCAGGTGCGTGACGGGTGAATGCAGGGGAGAGGGGAGGGAAGGGGAAGCGGGGGGAGGGGGAAAGTGGAAGGGGAAGCGGGGGGAGGGGGGGTGGAAAGTGGAAGGGGAGGGGTGAGGGGAGAGGGGAGGGGGCGAAGGAAGGGAGAGTGGTGAGGGAAGAGGTGGGGAAAGGGGAGAAGGTGAGGGAAGTGGGAGGGGAGAGGAGAGGGGCGAGGGAATGAGGAGGGGAAAGGGGAGGGGTGAAGGAAGAGTGAGGGAAGGGAGAGGGGAAAAGGGGAGAGGGAGGGGAAAGGGCCGGGGTTGAGGGAAGGGGGAGGAAGAGGGGGAGGGAGGAGTCACCTTTTAGTGAGATTCAGGAAAAGTAAGATAGTTATTTAGTTAATGGAATGTTCTATTATCACTATTTGTTTTCCTCACTACATCGAAGCTCTTCAGAAAGTCATGCACGGCACTGAGAACGAATAATATTTTACCCTCAAGTTATTTTAACGAATAGTGAACGTAAACACGATTTACATGGTTATTATTTTCATTTTGAATTTTGTATTGTCTAAGTTCTGAGATATTTAAGTTCATAAATGCAATAAAAACTGATTGTACTTTGCACCTTTCTACTCAGACTTTAGTCATATGGACAGCGTTAGACAGAATGGATAATTCAGACATTATTTGTTAGCCACAGATAGAGAGATAGACAGATAGACAACCACAGACAGATAACTAGACAGACAGCCACAGATAAATAACCAGGTAGACAGACAGACAGCCACAGATCGATAACCAGATAGACAGACAGCCACAATTAGATAACCAGACAGACAGACAGCCACAGATAGATAACCAGATAGACAGCCACAGATATATAACCAGTTAGAGAAATAAGGCAGCTACAGATAGATAAATAGTTAAATAAAACAGAATAGATAAAATGCAATACAAAAATTTCCCCACAGGTCAAAATCGCGAACTTCAGCGACGGGAACGACCCGCCTTCGGCAACCCTCTGGGAAAACTACCAACTCGGCCAAAACTACGACCAGCACCTCACCCCCGTGGGTCGTTGGACTCTCACGACCGAAGATCAAACCAACCCTTCCAACAACGACTCCAGTGACGACTACGACTTCGGTGACGACTCCAAAGGCTTCATGGGAGGTAGTCCTTCGTCTCCAACCTCGAGGGAGATCCCCATACCCAGCACTGTCACTGTGAAGACGAAGGCTCTGAAACATGGGGTTCTGGAGGGACCTGTTGACGACCTCCTGTTTCGGAGGACGGACCTGAGTGGCCTTCATGTCACGTGCACGAGTATCAATGTAAGGGTTTGGGTTTTTGGGTGGTGGTGATGGTGAGGGTGGTGATGGTGGGGATGGGGATGATGGTGGGGATGGGGATGATGGTGGGGATGATGGTGCGGATGATGGTGGTGATGGTGGTGGTGAGGATGATGATAGTGGGGATGAGGATGGTGAAGATGATGGTGATGATGGAGATGGTGAGGATGATGGTAATGATAGTGGGGATGGGGATGAGGATGGTGATGCTGGTGAGGATGATGGTGATGGTGTGGATGAGGATGAAAATGGTGAGGATGATGGTGATGGTGGGGATGATGGTGAAGATGGTGGTGATGGTGAGGATGGAGATGAGGATGGTGGTGATGATAGTGGGGATGGGGATGAGGATGGTGAGGATGGTGATATTGGTGAGGATGATGGTGAGGATGGGGATGATGAAAATTGTGATGATGGTGGTGATGGTGAGGATGAGGATGGAGATGTTGACAATGATGAGGGTGATGGTGACGGTGAGGATGATGGGGATAATGATAATGATAATAATAGTAATGAATCTAATTCTTCTTTGATATCAAATGAGTGATTAATAATAAAACTATTTCTTGTTAACATATTTCAGTAAAAAAGAAACTAATTTCATATTAACATAATTAATTTAAAACTTCACTTGATGTTAGCATATCTCAGTCAAAACCTCATTTTAACTTTTAACTTTTTAAATTTTAATATTACAATCAGACCCTCATTCCATTAAAACATATTTCAAGGAATAGATCATTTCAATTTAACATATTTCAGTCAAAACCACATTCCATCTTAACGTTTCTCATTGAAAACCTCACATTTTATCAACATATCTCAGTCAAAATCTCATTCTATCTTCTCATCTTTCAGTGAAACCCTGATTTCCTCTGAACGTATTACAGTCTATGTTAACAGCTTTCAGTCAAAACTTCATTTCATCTCAATTTTTTTTTTTCAGTCAAAAGCTAGTTTCGCATGTTTTTTCAGTCAAAACCTCATTTCATTTTTAATTTTTAAATTTTAATATTACAATCAGACCCTCATTCCATTAAAACATATTTCAAGGAATAGATCATTTCAATTTAACATATTTCAGTCAAAACCACATTCCATCTTAACGTTTCTCATTGAAAACCTCACATTTTATCAACATATCTCAGTCAAAACATCATTTCATTTCATTTTTTTTTTCAGTCAAAACCCCATCTCATCTTAACATTTTCATTCAAAACCTCATTTCCTTTTAACAACATTTCCTGACCCCCCCCCCCCCAATGCTAATGCTAATGCTAATGCTAATGCTAATGCTAATGCTAATGCTAATGCTAATGCTAATGCTAATGCTAATGCTAATGCTAATGCTAATGCTAATGCTAATGCTAATGCTAATGCTAATGCTAATGCTAATGCTAATGCTAATGCTAATGCTAATGCTAATGCTAATGCTAATGCTAATGCTAATGCTAATGCTAATGCTAATGCTAATGCTAATGCTAATGCTAATGCTAATGCTAATGCTAATGCTAATGCTAATGCTAATGCTAATGCTAATGCTAATGCTAATGCTAATGCTAATGCTAATGCTAATGCTAATGCTAATGCTAATGCTAATGCTAATGCTAATGCTAATGCTAATGCTAATGCTAATGCTAATGCTAATGCTAATGCTAATGCTAATGCTAATGCTAATGCTAATGCTAATGCTAATGCTAATGCTAATGCTAATGCTAATGCTAATGCTAATGCTAATGCTAATGCTAATGCTAATGCTAATGCTAATGCTAATGCTAATGCTAATGCTAATGCTAATGCTAATGCTAATGCTAATGCTAATGCTAATGCTAATGCTAATGCTAATGCTAATGCTAATGCTAATGCTAATGCTAATGCTAATGCTAATGCTAATGCTAATGCTAATGCTAATGCTAATGCTAATGCTAATGCTAATGCTAATGCTAATGCTAATGCTAATGCTAATGCTAATGCTAATGCTAATGCTAATGCTAATGCTAATGCTAATGCTAATGCTAATGCTAATGCTAATGCTAATGCTAATGCTAATGCTAATGCTAATGCTAATGCTAATGCTAATGCTAATGCTAATGCTAATGCTAATGCTAATGCTAATGCTAATGCTAATGCTAATGCTAATGCTAATGCTAATGCTAATGCTAATGCTAATGCTAATGCTAATGCTAATGCTAATGCTAATGCTAATGCTAATGCTAATGCTAATGCTAATGCTAATGCTAATGCTAATGCTAATGCTAATGCTAATGCTAATGCTAATGCTAATGCTAATGCTAATGCTAATGCTAATGCTAATGCTAATGCTAATGCTAATGCTAATGCTAATGCTAATGCTAATGCTAATGCTAATGCTAATGCTAATGCTAATGCTAATGCTAATGCTAATGCTAATGCTAATGCTAATGCTAATGCTAATGCTAATGCTAATGCTAATGCTAATGCTAATGCTAATGCTAATGCTAATGCTAATGCTAATGCTAATGCTAATGCTAATGCTAATGCTAATGCTAATGCTAATGCTAATGCTAATGCTAATGCTAATGCTAATGCTAATGCTAATGCTAATGCTAATGCTAATGCTAATGCTAATGCTAATGCTAATGCTAATGCTAATGCTAATGCTAATGCTAATGCTAATGCTAATGCTAATGCTAATGCTAATGCTAATGCTAATGCTAATGCTAATGCTAATGCTAATGCTAATGCTAATGCTAATGCTAATGCTAATGCTAATGCTAATGCTAATGCTAATGCTAATGCTAATGCTAATGCTAATGCTAATGCTAATGCTAATGCTAATGCTAATGCTAATGCTAATGCTAATGCTAATGCTAATGCTAATGCTAATGCTAATGCTAATGCTAATGCTAATGCTAATGCTAATGCTAATGCTAATGCTAATGCTAATGCTAATGCTAATGCTAATGCTAATGCTAATGCTAATGCTAATGCTAATGCTAATGCTAATGCTAATGCTAATGCTAATGCTAATGCTAATGCTAATGCTAATGCTAATGCTAATGCTAATGCTAATGCTAATGCTAATGCTAATGCTAATGCTAATGCTAATGCTAATGCTAATGCTAATGCTAATGCTAATGCTAATGCTAATGCTAATGCTAATGCTAATGCTAATGCTAATGCTAATGCTAATGCTAATGCTAATGCTAATGCTAATGCTAATGCTAATGCTAATGCTAATGCTAATGCTAATGCTAATGCTAATGCTAATGCTAATGCTAATGCTAATGCTAATGCTAATGCTAATGCTAATGCTAATGCTAATGCTAATGCTAATGCTAATGCTAATGCTAATGCTAATGCTAATGCTAATGCTAATGCTAATGCTAATGCTAATGCTAATGCTAATGCTAATGCTAATGCTAATGCTAATGCTAATGCTAATGCTAATGCTAATGCTAATGCTAATGCTAATGCTAATGCTAATGCTAATGCTAATGCTAATGCTAATGCTAATGCTAATGCTAATGCTAATGCTAATGCTAATGCTAATGCTAATGCTAATGCTAATGCTAATGCTAATGCTAATGCTAATGCTAATGCTAATGCTAATGCTAATGCTAATGCTAATGCTAATGCTAATGCTAATGCTAATGCTAATGCTAATGCTAATGCTAATGCTAATGCTAATGCTAATGCTAATGCTAATGCTAATGCTAATGCTAATGCTAATGCTAATGCTAATGCTAATGCTAATGCTAATGCTAATGCTAATGCTAATGCTAATGCTAATGCTAATGCTAATGCTAATGCTAATGCTAATGCTAATGCTAATGCTAATGCTAATGCTAATGCTAATGCTAATGCTAATGCTAATGCTAATGCTAATGCTAATGCTAATGCTAATGCTAATGCTAATGCTAATGCTAATGCTAATGCTAATGCTAATGCTAATGCTAATGCTAATGCTAATGCTAATGCTAATGCTAATGCTAATGCTAATGCTAATGCTAATGCTAATGCTAATGCTAATGCTAATGCTAATGCTAATGCTAATGCTAATGCTAATGCTAATGCTAATGCTAATGCTAATGCTAATGCTAATGCTAATGCTAATGCTAATGCTAATGCTAATGCTAATGCTAATGCTAATGCTAATGCTAATGCTAATGCTAATGCTAATGCTAATGCTAATGCTAATGCTAATGCTAATGCTAATGCTAATGCTAATGCTAATGCTAATGCTAATGCTAATGCTAATGCTAATGCTAATGCTAATGCTAATGCTAATGCTAATGCTAATGCTAATGCTAATGCTAATGCTAATGCTAATGCTAATGCTAATGCTAATGCTAATGCTAATGCTAATGCTAATGCTAATGCTAATGCTAATGCTAATGCTAATGCTAATGCTAATGCTAATGCTAATGCTAATGCTAATGCTAATGCTAATGCTAATGCTAATGCTAATGCTAATGCTAATGCTAATGCTAATGCTAATGCTAATGCTAATGCTAATGCTAATGCTAATGCTAATGCTAATGCTAATGCTAATGCTAATGCTAATGCTAATGCTAATGCTAATGCTAATGCTAATGCTAATGCTAATGCTAATGCTAATGCTAATGCTAATGCTAATGCTAATGCTAATGCTAATGCTAATGCTAATGCTAATGCTAATGCTAATGCTAATGCTAATGCTAATGCTAATGCTAATGCTAATGCTAATGCTAATGCTAATGCTAATGCTAATGCTAATGCTAATGCTAATGCTAATGCTAATGCTAATGCTAATGCTAATGCTAATGCTAATGCTAATGCTAATGCTAATGCTAATGCTAATGCTAATGCTAATGCTAATGCTAATGCTAATGCTAATGCTAATGCTAATGCTAATGCTAATGCTAATGCTAATGCTAATGCTAATGCTAATGCTAATGCTAATGCTAATGCTAATGCTAATGCTAATGCTAATGCTAATGCTAATGCTAATGCTAATGCTAATGCTAATGCTAATGCTAATGCTAATGCTAATGCTAATGCTAATGCTAATGCTAATGCTAATGCTAATGCTAATGCTAATGCTAATGCTAATGCTAATGCTAATGCTAATGCTAATGCTAATGCTAATGCTAATGCTAATGCTAATGCTAATGCTAATGCTAATGCTAATGCTAATGCTAATGCTAATGCTAATGCTAATGCTAATGCTAATGCTAATGCTAATGCTAATGCTAATGCTAATGCTAATGCTAATGCTAATGCTAATGCTAATGCTAATGCTAATGCTAATGCTAATGCTAATGCTAATGCTAATGCTAATGCTAATGCTAATGCTAATGCTAATGCTAATGCTAATGCTAATGCTAATGCTAATGCTAATGCTAATGCTAATGCTAATGCTAATGCTAATGCTAATGCTAATGCTAATGCTAATGCTAATGCTAATGCTAATGCTAATGCTAATGCTAATGCTAATGCTAATGCTAATGCTAATGCTAATGCTAATGCTAATGCTAATGCTAATGCTAATGCTAATGCTAATGCTAATGCTAATGCTAATGCTAATGCTAATGCTAATGCTAATGCTAATGCTAATGCTAATGCTAATGCTAATGCTAATGCTAATGCTAATGCTAATGCTAATGCTAATGCTAATGCTAATGCTAATGCTAATGCTAATGCTAATGCTAATGCTAATGCTAATGCTAATGCTAATGCTAATGCTAATGCTAATGCTAATAATAATAATAATAATATATAATAATAATAATGAAAATAATAATAATAATAATGATAATATAATAATAATAATAATAATAATAATAATAGTAATAATAATAATAATAATAATAATAATAATAATAATGATAATAATAATAATAATAATAATAATAATAATGATAATAATAATAATGATAATAATAATAATAATAATAATAACAATAATAATAATAATAATAGCAATATGATGATAATAATAATAACATTAACAATAATATAATAATAACATTAACAATCATATTATTTATAATATTAATAATAATAATGACAATAATAATAATAACAACAACAATAATCAAGTTACAATGAAAACCTCACTCACAGAACCCTCCCCCACTTCTTCCCCTCCACAGTTACACCTGTTACGAGGTCCCCGACAACCAGTGGGGTTCTGTGGTCGACGGGAAATGGACGGGGATGGTCGGCGAAGTGGCCAGCGGCAAAGCAGACATCGCCATCGCTTCCCTCACCATCTCTCAGCAAAGAAGTTCCGTCGTCGATTTCCTCATTAGCGTGGCCGTTTCGGGGTAAGTCGTAAGTAAGTCGTTTCGGGGTAAGTCGTAAGTAAGTCGTTTCGGGGTGAGTCGTAGGTAAGTCGTTTCGGGGTAAGTCGTAGGTAAGTCGTTTCGGAGTGAGTCGTAAGTAAGTCGTTTCGGGGTGAGTCGTAAGTAAGTCGTTTCGGGGTAAGTCGTAAGTAAGCCGTTTCGGGGTAAGTCGTAAGTAAGTCGTTTCGGGGTAAGTCGTAAGTAAGTCGTTTCGGGGTAAGTCGTAAGTAAGTCGTTTCGGGGTGAGTCGTAAGTAAGTCGTTTCGGGGTAAGTCGTAAGTAAGCCGTTTCGGGGTAAGTCGTAAGTAAGTCGTTTCGGGGTGAGTCGTAAGTAAGTCGTTTCGGGGTAAGTCGTAAGTAAGTCGTTTCGGGGTGAGTCGTAAGTAAGTCGTTTCGGGGTGAGTCGTAAGTAAGTCGTTTCGGGGTGAGTCGTAAGTAAGTCGTTTCGGGGTAAGTCGTAAGTAAGTCGTTTCGGGGTGAGTCGTAAGTAAGTCGTTTCGGGGTAAGTCGTAAGAAAAATTGAGAGAGAGATTAAAAAGAAATAAAAATCAAATACAATATATAATGAATTAATATATAGATAAGATAAAAAAAACAAATCATGTACGTGTTAATGGGAAAGTTATCTTTTTAATGTATATAATGGTGGGATGGCGTTGTGGATATATGTAATTCAAAGTGATTGTGATAACTATGATAATGAATGTGTAAAATGACTGTGGTAATTATAATAATGACATAATGCAAAGTGGCTAATGATTATTTTAATGACGTGTAAAGTGACTGTAATGATTGCATTTAATAATTCACACACAAAAAAAACTAAAACAAAAGAAATTTATCCCACAATCACCTAGTCCCGCAAACACCTAATCTTGCAATTAATTAATCCCGCAAACACCTAATCTTGCAACCACTCAATCCTGCAACCACATAATCTCGCAATCACTTAATCCCGCAAAAACCTAATCTTGCAATCACCTAAACCCACAATAACCTAACCCCACAATAACCTAACCCCACAATAACCTAACCCCACACTCACCTAACCCCACAATCACCTAATCCCACACAAAAAAAATACAGTTACAGAGTCGCGATGAAGCGCCCGACCAACGCCGACTACATGTGGACCGTCTACACCAAACAGTTCGAGAAGGAATCCTGGGCCGTGACTGTATCGGTGACTGTGATCCTCATGGTGCTCGTCTTCGTGGTCCTGCGCCTGTCCCGTCGTGAGGAAAGCGCCTCCCCGTCCATTTCTGCGTTTACTGTCCTGGGGATTTTGTTTGGGCAGGGTGAGTTTGTGGTGGTGTGGTGGTGGTGGGGGTAGAGGGTGATGGTGAGGATGGGAGGTTGGGGAGAGTGGGAGGGAGGGATGGAGGGAGGGAGTGAGAGACGGAGGGAGAGGGTGGGAGGGTGGGAGGGAGACAGGGAGAGAGGGAGGGAGACAGGAAGGGAGAGAGGGGAGGGGGGGGAGGGAGGGAGGGATGGAGGGAGGGAGTGAGAGACGG